AAGACCCCCCCCCTGTAGTCACCTTGTAGTCTTATAGATGGCCACTTTGGCCAGCAAAGGGAGGATGACAAAAGGCCCCACAACTTAGGCTGTGTCTAGACTGCAGGGTTTTTTCAAAAAAAGTAGCCTTTTTTCGAAAAAACTTCACCTGCGTCTGACTACAGCCGCGTTCTTTCGAAATTAAATCGAAAGAATGTGGCTTTTCTTTCAACGGCGGTACTCCTCATTTCACGAGGAATAATGCCTTTTTTCGAAAGTGCTCTAAATGTAATTTATAATGTGTAAATAGAATTAAGACCAAATCAGCGATTTAGATATCAAAGAGCTAGTATCAAAAGTCTGTGTGGATTAAAAAAACCCCTTAATTTAGAAGGAAAGAAAAGGCATGTATAAAAATATACAACAAATGGAAGACAGGGAAAATTGATAGTAATGAATAAAATTAAAAAGTTAGGAATAGTTGAAAGTTAGTAAAAGAAGCAAAGAGACACAAAGAGAAACCTGTGGTCAGCAGAGTTAGGGAAAATATTGAGTTTTAAAAAGAATATTAGGAACAAAATAATCCTAACAATGCTATTTGTCCATCATTAAATGGAAATGGTAGCATTATCAATATTCGTGCAAAAAATTCAGAAATGTTCACTAAATACATCTGTTCGGTATGTGGGGGCGGGGGGAGATTATATAGTCATGTCTTATATTTGATGAAACACTTTCCATTCCAACAGTAACTCTGGACAATGTTAAATGGCAGCTTCTAAAGTTAGACATTTTTAAAGATGCAGGTCTAGAAAATTTGTGTCCAAGAGTTTTAAAAGATCAGGCTGACTAACTTCCTGGACTATTAATGATTTTGAGTAAGTCTTAGAACACTGGTGAAATTCCAGGAGACTGGAAGAAAGCTAATGTTGTGTCAATATTTAAAAAGGATAAATGAAATGACCCAGTTAATTACAGGCCCCACAAGGTGCTCCAAAATAATGGAGTGGCTGATAGAGGATTTGATTAATAATTAAAAGATGGTAATATAATTAATGGCAATCTATACGTTTATGGAAAATAGATCCTTTCAAACTAACTTGATTTTTTTTTTAAGATTACAAGTTTGGCTGATAAAGGTGTTGCTGTAATACACTGAGAATTCTGTAAGGCATTTGACTTGGTACCATCTGACATTCTGATTAAAAAAGAACAATATACCATTAACATGGCACACTTTAAACGGATTAGAAACTGACTGATACATCTCAAAATGTAATTGTAAACAGGAATTAATCACGGTACTGGTATGTTTCTCGTGAATTTGCAAGGGGATCAGTTCTTGGTCTTATACTATTTAACATTTTTATTAATTACCTAGAAACATAAGATCATCACTGACAAAGTCTGCAGTGGAGGGGGAATAGTGAAGAGCACAGGTTACTGGTTCAGAGCAATCTGGATTGCTTGGTAAATTAGGCTGAGGCAAACAATATACATTTTAATAGAGCTAAACGTACTTCTATATCTCTAGGAGTAAAGAATGAAGGCCTTACTTATAAGATGAGAGACTTTATACTGGTAAGCAGTGACTCCAATAGATTTGACAATCGTTCTGGATAATCTACGGAATATGCACTTCAAGTGTAACTCTGTGTCCAAAGAGCTAATAAAATCCTTGGACACAAACTGAGGAATCTCAAGAAAAAAAAATAGAAAGGGGTTACATAACTACTGTATTTGGCACTGGTGTGTTTGCTGCTAGAACACCCTTACTAGTTCTGGTGTCCACAATTCAAGAAGGCTATTGAAAAACTGGAGAGGGTTCAGAGAAGAGCCACAAGAATGATTAAAGGATTAGAATACATGCTTTATGATTAATTCAAAGAGCAAAACCTATTTAGCCTAAAGAGATAATTGAGAGATGAGCTGATTAGTCTGTAAGTAACTACATGGGGAATAATGGACTCCAACGTAGCAGAAAACATATAACATGGTCCAATGGCTAGAAGCTGAAGCTAGACAAATTCAAACTGGAAATATGGTGTAAATATTGAACAGTGAGAGTAATTAACAAATTTATGAAGGGTCATGACAGATTTCCCATCACTGATCATTTCAAGATCAACTCTGAATGTTGTTTTAAAATATATGCTCCAGGAATTATTTTTGAGAAGTTTTTGGCCTATGTTAAACAGAAGGTCAGTTTAGATTTCACAATGGTCCCTTCTGGTTTTAGAATCTATGAATGTCTAAGTAAAGCAGGGAGACGGCCCATTTTCTAGAGAGATCAAGTATTATCACCACAAACTACTGCTACCGTCAATGGGAAGGGTTCAAAGAGTAAATATTAAAGAATATTTCAGAGCACATTCTCAGCATGAGTGTTCCAGTAAACTTTTCAAATGTTTGTCACAAGATTTGTGAAGATTTTCATGCATAGATTGTGGTTCCCAAAATACTCATAAATTATGAATGAATAAAATAATCCCCTCCAATACTTATTTTATTTGTATAATTATACCATGTACAAGCTCTAATTGTGACAGTAAGAAATAATCCTTGCCTCAAAGATGCTACATTCTAGATAGGCAAAACAAAGGATGTGTGGGGAGGGAGAGAAGTATGATAATTTTTTAAATGGGAAACTGAGTCACAGATAAACTGTGACTTCTCTTGCTCAGTGGCACACAGCATGTCTATGGGAGGATTGAGAATAGAACTCCTATCGCCTGAGTCCCAGTCTAAAGCCTTAAACACAAGCCATAAAATTCCCACCTAATTCACATTCTCAAAAGTGATTTAGGCAATCAGGGGTCTAAGTCCTGTTGATTTTTTTTAAATTAGATTTCTAAGACTTAGGCTTTTAAGTCACTTAAATGCTTTTGAAAAGTTTACTCATTCATTCCAATCATATGTTTTTCATTAATAATATATAATTGATGATTGCGTGAAAATATTCCCGAATCAAGTTTTTCATTTTAAAAAAGGTCTACCAAATCTAATTGCAGCCTGTGGGAATTTTCCTGGGGTCACAGTGCAAAATCAAGCCCACAGTACTCACAAAATGTTGTTGTATTAAAGAGGTTACACAAACAGATGCTTGACAAAAAACACATCTGAAATAATATATATAATAATATATAATTGATGATTGACTTTACTCAAACTAGAAATGGCAAAACTGATTCTTTTTAAACAAAATATCCCAAGAAAAACTCATTATACAATCCTTTAGTGGACTAACTGTAAAGTCCCAATTTAGGTAAAGCTGCCACTGAAGTCAGGATCAGGCATTAATAAAGATTTATAACTAAACCAATTACTCAACCTTAATTCAGGATTTAGCACAAGTACATGAACCATGTTTATGCTAAGAAAATGTATTATGTTAAAAAATGAATTAACTGCACGTTAATTAAACATGTCTTAGCTCCTAATGTGGCCAAATCATGTTTAAACAAATGTTAGGTAGTCTGTTGTTAACCATAGGGTCTGCTAGTGGAAAAATGGTATTTAACATCATCCTGGGACCTAGGTGAACAATTCTTTTCTCCACTACGGAGAAGGCCAAAGAAGACTTTGTTTTAAATCCTTCAAAAGCTCCAATAGTACAGGGTATGGGTAGAAGTGGCTGGAAGACTGGCAAGAAGGTGAGGTCTCTGTTCTCTTAAGAATTATACAAAACATTAAACTCAATGAGGGAATCTGTCAAAATGTAACTAGCACTGTATCTCTGCCATTACCTACCTCTCATAATGGATTCATTTGACACTAATTGCAAAAATGATTTAATTTAGCCAATCTTCACAGACTATTGTTTTAAAATTAAAATTAATGTATAGGATAAAAACTAAACATTCCTACAAGATAAAGACTTGGAAATTAAAGACCCCGAACTGATGAAAAGGGCCACAAAAGTCTCTTTCTAAAAGCAATCGTAGTAAGAGGTTTAGAGTGCAGTTTACAGATTGAGGTGCAAGAGGAATAGTCCCTGATTAGGGTGCAACCCAACTCTACAGCAACTGAGTACTGGGCTTTCTTTGTCCCAACCAAAAAGGGCAGCATAGGAGAAAGCTCTGAGGTCTGGTCTACACTAGGACCTTAGTCTGAAATTAGCTCCCCAAGGTCAATTTTCTAAGCGCTACGTCCACACTGCCAACCCTGTAATTCCAGAATAAGGGTAAGGGGCTGCAGAATTCGAACTATGTAGTCCTATTTTTCATGAGGAGAAATGCTATTCCCAAACTTGTAAGACTGAAATAACTCTAGTATAGATGCTCCAGTGCCACTAATTTGAACTAACTGGCCTCACAGAGGCCTCTTGCAGCTCCCTCGAGTGCTTCCTGGGGTTCTCAGTCTGAGGCAGGCTCCATTAATGTGGATACCTCGGACTACATTTCCTGTAGTGAGGATACAGAACTTCTAATTTGTAAAATCAGGTGCCCAGAAGTTGAACTCAGTAAATTCTAAATAATTGCCTAGTGTAGATAATGTAAGGGGGAGCCAGTTAACTGCTTAGAGGATGTGTGAGGGACATGGTCCAATAGGTAAAGATGATTTTGCCACTGGACCAGTTTCCACTGGTCTTGTGAACTAGTGGTGAGATTTGCACCAGAGAACTAGTGCAATTTCTCTCCGACTGCCTGGTCCATTTTTCTGCCAGAAGTTGAAATTGTCTCAGGGCTTCCATCTGCCCCAACTGGCAAGAATCCCAAAGAACCATCTGAGCCCATTTCAATCACTTTTCCTTTATGCTGTCACTATGAACCCTGTGCTAAATGGTTCATGGGGATCAGCTACAGTATTTGAAAGCCCACTGAAGACCCAAAGTAGCACAAAGAAAGTGAAAAGGATCCATGAATATACCCTATATTTATACATATAGTAGTGTACGACCTGATCTACAATAGGAAATTAGATCCATATAAGTACATCACTCAGGGGTGTGAACAATCCATATAACATGTGGTGTAGTCAGCCCTAGGCTGATGTGAAAATTCTCTTGTTGACATAGCTACCTTCTCTCAAGGAAGTGAGTTATGTACGCCAATGGAAGACTCCCTCAAGTTGGAGTAAGTGGCATCTTCACTGAAGAGATGCAGTTGTACAGCTGCAGCATTTTTAAGGTGGACAAGCCCTGAAAGACACAATGTTGCTGTAGTTGCAAACTTGCAAATGTCTTTCCAATCATCTTATTTTAGCAAAATAAATTAGGAGAGGAAAGAGCATGCTAAAACTACCTGCTTTGTGAAAAGTGAGCACCGCGTCCTCTGATGCAGGGGATGGGAAGGGCAGTACTCAGACTCAAGTGTGGGTTTTTTTCCTTATCATTATATTTGCATTACATTAAAAGATGGCAATTTCACAACAGCAACCCATCGCCATCAGAGACTTGCTTTGCTAACTATTACAATGGGAATCCTAATTGCTCCACCACTGCTCTTTTGCCAGCTTCCCTTGTGCTCTTTTGTGCACCAAGCTAATGTAATTAGCCATGTGTTAGTATTAACACCATCCTCCTTTGCAAGCCTAACATATGGCTAATTATGATATTACAGTAAGCTGGTTATTTGATAGGCTGAGTCAGGGGACCAATAATATGACATGAAATCTTTTGTCTTAAGTTCAGCAGATCTCAGTCCCCCTAATTCTAAAGAAGGAATCAGTAATTCTACTCAACCTGGCACACAATGAATCAGATTCCACTTGGCCGGGTAGATGAGGTTTTCTCACTCTTCTGTCATCACAAAGGGTCACTGTCGTTGATAATTCAATTCAAAGTGCAGGCCCCACTGTTAAGAATGAACAGAGTTGATGGTTCTCTGTTTCTTTTCCCCCTCCCTCCAAACCCAAAAAGCATTCACATATCAGCAGATACAGATTAAGACTTTCAAGGTTATATGAAGGGGATCTCCATGTGATGAATGGTTCTTTAAAATGAAAGCCTAAATTGTAATGCATCTCCAAGGGGACCCTAAGTCTACGAGTTTACCTGTGTTGCAAAGAATAATTGCTTCTAGATGTCATTGTTTTGCCAAATACCCATCATACTTCCCCTGGATGCTATGCCTTAATCATGGGAAGTTATGTCCCATGAATTTGCATCATTCTCATGGAAGTACAGGGTGGACCTCCCTAATCCGGCAACCTCAGGTCCTGAGTCGTCCTGAACAAGGGAGTTTGCCAGACCAGAAAAGGTCAGGCCTCCAGGGCTCCCCTCCTGGTCCATGAGCTCTGACCCCACCCACCAGCCCTGTGGGCTGCCTACCCCTTACGGGGCTCTGCTCCAGCTACTAGCCCCCTGGCCAGTTCCTGCTTATGGTCTCTGGCCTTTGGGCTGCCAATGAGGCTCCACTGCCATCCGCAGCTGCCTGCCCCCACCAGCCAGAGCTCCCTGCTCCCACCCCTGGGGGCTCCTGTTGGGGTTCCCTGCCAGCACCAGCTGCCCCCCAGCTGGGCTCTGTTCCGGGCTGCTGGCCAGACGCCCTGTAGGCAGCCAGCCTGCCAGTCCAACAGTGCCCAGCCGCTGGCAACCATTCTAGTTGAAGCTCCCTGGTCCAACAACATCCGTGGTTCTGCCGGAGTGCGGATGTTTCTGGACCAGAGAGTCCTAGACAAAAGAACTTCAACTTGTACAAGCTGTTGCCAGCCTCTGCGATGAAAGATCCAAAAAAATGTCCTTAATGTGTGTTTATATGGGCTATGGCATTTGTGCTGTTTTCACACTGGCTATTCCTCTCAACAGAACTCTCTTCCCTCTGAAAAAAATGTATTTTGGGATGGGATGAACAGAACAGGAGTCAGGGTAGTTTAAGCCTCCATTACAAAATACACAATGGCAACTCAGCAACACAAATGAAAACATATGCAAAAATGTGACGACTACTGTTCTTCTGTGATGTGCATATTGGAAGTTCGAGTGCGGGGGAGAGAGAATGTGTGGCTGCTGTCCCCTCAACTCTCCAGGATGTGGGGAGATGACAGACTCTCCAAGGGATGATTCCTTTGACTGCTTCATTGAGGAAAGGAAACCTGTCACAATGCCAAGAACAAAACTGCTGCTGGGCTTGGTTTTGAATTTTATCAAGTGAATAAGTGAAAAATGTATACATACTCACTTCAGACTCACGCTATGAATAATTAAAAGAATATATAATTGTATCCAGTTTTCCCCCTCAAGCTCAACCAGCAAAGATATCTTCTGTCCAAGTAACAGGGAGCTTCATGTTTTTTTCAAAAAATTGTCAGAAGTGAACTGAACCAACCATCAATGAATTTATATGCATGTAAGTAGAAATAACAGCCTGGTGATTAGAACAGATAAGAAATAGTTGCTCAACAGTTTTACTGGATGAAGGTGTAATTTTTTAATTTGACAATGCACAAGTATTTCTCCAATGTTACATGTCCTGCCTTCATGCTGGATTCTGATTAGAGATGTGTAGGTGGAGCATAATTGTATTTCTTGAACAATGTGCTACTGAAGTCATCCATTTAAGCAAAACAGCTGACTTCAAAACTCATGGAAAGATGCAATTATACGTCAGAGTGGAATTTAGGCATCTTGGGTATTTTACCACCATGCAACTAGCAGAGATCAGATATCTTTACTATATAAAATAAAATAAAATAAAATAAGGAAGTTTACCAAGTCATGAATGACTCTGCAGATATATTTTCAAAGAACAAAGAAAAATATGTCCTTTTTTGAGAAGGAAACATGTTCTGCAATCACCCAAGTTTTGCTTTTAAGTATACTGATGCAGCCCAGTTGCACAGTGATTTTATCTGGAAGGGGCACAAGCAAAAGATCTTCTTTATCTTTCATTTTCCACTTTTTCCTCAGAGAGTTCTACCAATATGCTGTACTCCTTAATTTTTACCCAGGCAAAAATTAGAGTCAATAGCAGTTTTTCCTGAAGGAGCAGTGAATAAATTAAGAATGTATTTAGCACCTTGCACCTGAGGATCTCAGGGCTTTACAATACTAAGACTTGCAATTGCTTTTGAAAAATAGGTACACATTTCACAAATGAAGAAGCAAAAGTTAAGTGGCCTGTTTAAGTCATGCAGCTGGAAGCAGCAGCAGCTGGATATAAGAAACAGGTCTCCTTGCTTCCAGTCACTTAGTCTAACCCCAAATCCCAGTCTGGTTCTCTCTACTCTTGCTGTTTGTAGCCAGCAAATTGTTACCTTCCCTAGTAGGGGAAATCAGGCAAATTCTCTCTCAGCCATTATTGAATGGGCTCAATAGTTTCTGTATTGAATGTGAGTAACAGTTCCTTGACAAGGCAAGGTTCAATTATTTTCTCTCATCAATTACTCTTTTTACTTCACTAGTGTCAAGCATGTGATCTTTTCAATCATTGATGAAGTGCTGTTCCTTACTCAGGCTGATTCTTGCCTCTTCCTCTCTGCACCTATGTATCAAAAAGTGGAACTGGCATAGGTCTACCGCACCGAATGAGGCAAAATAGCAGTGAGGAGGTCCAATGCTCAAATACTACAGAGATGGGTGGAGTATAGAGGTCAGCACAGAACAGAATGGCTGTGTCTAGACTGGCATGATTTTCCGGAAATGCTTTTAACGGAAAAGATTTCCGTTAAAAGCATTTTCGGAACAGAGCGTCTAGATTGGCACGGGCGCTTTTCCGCAAAAGCACTTTTTGCGGAAAAGCGTCCGTGCCAATCTAGACGCGCTTTTGCGCAAAAAAGCCCCAATCGCCATTTTCGCAATCGGGGCTTTTTTGCGCAAAACAAATCTCAGCTGTCTACACTGGCCATTTTGTGCAAAAGGACTTTTGCCTGAACGGGAGCAGAATAGTATTTCCGCAAAAAGCACTGATTTCTTACAGTAGGAAGTCAGTGCTTTTGCGGAAATTCAAGCGGCCAGTGTAGACAGCTGGCAAGTTTTTCCGGAAAAGCAGCTGATTTTCCGGAAAAACTGGCCAGTCTAGACACAGCCAATATGTTCATAACTCAAGCATGCCATGTTCCTTAGTAGTTACATCTGAAATAGCTCAGAGAGGTTTAGAATATGGTTAGGGTATGTAGAGAAACTGCAAGACCTTGTGACCAGGCACAGCCTTTCTCCTGCCTACACAAAAAGCAGATGCAATTTAAAGTAATCTGTTGTCTGGTTTAGAGGATGGAATTCCTGTAAAGAAGTTCTATGTAGCAGGATCCAAGTGAAAAAGAAAAAATAAGTGATACTCTCTCAAAGTTTGCTCATCACGAGAGCTCCATCCATAACCAACCTCCAGCACAATATAATTCCCATTCATGATGACGTGTGCCACATCTTCCTGGGACTGGGACTGGGATTGGGATTGGTCCTGCCTTGGGCAGGGGGCTGGACTTGATGACCTCCTGAGGTCTCTTCCAGCTCTTATGATTCTATGAAACCTGAGCCGCTGTATTTGAGATGTGGGTTTTGAAAGTCTTGTACTTCAAATACTGGCCTCAATTGCCAATCTCCTCTTAAACCCCTGCAGTTTATATTCCTCTAACCCAGATGGGGAAAAAAAAGGATTCCAAATATAATTGTAAAAAATATTTCCCTGCTCTGAAACACCTAGCAGCATGGGCTAATCTACCGTAATCTCTGCTGCATAATACCCATTTTTTTCAACGTTGTACAGGGAAGGATGATTTAATCCCATTCAGAAATGGCCGATGTTTAGAGCCATGTTTCCTATTCCAGTACAAGTACCTCTAAATCAATGTGTTCTCGTATGAATTTTGGGTAAGATTTCTCTCTGCTGATTATGTAGTAAAATGGCAGGTCTTCGATAAGGGTTGCTTCTGTGCTTTACAGAAATACTATAAGTGGTTCAGCTCATAAAGCCCTGCCCAGTTCCTACATGCCCGAAAACTGGCAAGGATATTATTTATTCCACACCACAACAGCACCTAAAACTGGAACCATATTATGCTAAAATTTAAATCAGTTACACGGTTAGCAGAGCTCCACAAGACCATGGCTCCATATGCTTCACCAGCTCCCAGCCTCCAGCTCCTATGAGATGGCAACTGCAGGCTGTGCCTCTTCCGGTCCCATGGGCTGCCAGGTTCACTGGCTCCTGGCCCCAGCCTCCAGCCCACACAGGCTGCTAGCTTCATAGGCTGCCAGCAGCATCAGCCCCACCAGCCTCTGAACACTGGAGGCTAGACTTCACCAGCTCCCAACCATACCATCCTCTGGCCCCCTTGGGCTGCTAGCCTCCAAGCCCCACTGACCTCCAGTCCCATGGCAGCCTTGAGCCCCTGTGGGGTGCCGTTTTTGCTGGCTCCCTGCCCTGCCCGTCTCCAGCCCTTGCAGACTGCTAGCAGCCTAGCAATGGTAAACAGTTAATTGGAACTGACAATCATTAACTTATCAGTTAACTGGTTAACCATTAAACTTTTACATCCCTAATTTAAAGATTAATCATAAATTACTTTACATCCATATCTGTGTAACAGTGATTTGAAAATGTGCAGGATAAATTTGTTACACAGTGTTATTCTTACAAACTAGGTCTACTTTGGTGTACCTTTCATTTGAGTATATGCTTGCTTGTATTTGCAACTTACTGAAGTTTAAAATTAGAGCTATTCAACATCTGTTATGCAGTTGGCTTTCACCCTTTCTTTTTCTTTTCTAGGTTACATTTGAACACACTGATTGATTTCCTGCTATCTTTTGCCACCTTGTGGAGAATGTGAAACACTGCATGACATAAATGGTAAACTAGAGCCCCACCTCTAATATCACAGGCATTCACCTTCCTTCCCCCCTGTGATTTGTCCT